CCGAGAAGCCTGCTTTATCACCATAATGATAAGAACTAAGTGATAAGAGTGAGCGAGGCTCCGGGAAGTCTGCCTTATCACCATAATGATAAGAACTAGCTGATACGAGTGAGTGAGACTCCGAGAAGCCTGCCTTATCACCATAATGATGAGAACTAGGTGATAAGAGTGAGCGAGGCTTCAAGAAGTCTGCCTTATCACCATAATGATAAGAAGTTGGTGATAAGAGTGAGCGAGGCTCCGAGAAGTCTACTTTATCACCATAATGATAAGAACTAGGTGATAAGAGTGAGCGAGGCTCCGGAAAACCTGCCTTATCACCATAATGACAAAGAACAGCGAGAAGTCTGCCTTATCACCACGACAATTTAATAATGTGAGTGAGGCTCTGAAAAACCTGCCTTACCACTATAATAACAAAGAACAAATGATAAGAGTAAGCGAGGCTCTGAGAAACCTGCTTTATCACCACAATGAAAATGATCAAGATGGTAAGAGGAGCGAGGCTCCGAGAAGCCTGCCTTACCACTATGGTAACAATGATCAATATGGTAAGAGGAGCGAGACTCCGAGAAGCTTGCCTTACCACCATCTGCCCCAAAAGCAAGACACTAACAAGGGATGAGTATATCTTGATCAGTCTACCAACGAATATCTGATTCTATATAACTGAATCAATCCATCACTAACGAGTTACTTTCTGATTCTGATAAGGAGAGGATAGTGAGATCTTGGCCATAAGAGACTCATCACTTTGAAACCTCGATTTTATCTCTATCATATGATTTCTCTCCAAATTGAATTGATGGTCTTGCTTGTAAATTACTAAGATGTGATGATTTTAAGCTACCTTTTAAAGGGAAAGCTATGTATGATCACTAGGTCGGAGGAACTTGGGAATGAGCTATGTTTTTTACCTGATCAGTGGAGCGATAGCTTGGCAGTTAAATAAGGATAGAAGTTAGGCAGTAAGTCACTAATGAGAGTCGATCTCTAGATCACAAGCCTAGGACAAATCTTCTAGATCCGGTGTAGGAGGAAGGTGTTAAAATTATGTCGGACTGTGCTGTGTCTACAGGTTTCATCACTCTTGGAGAAAATTACGGAAGAAAACTGTAAGGAACTGCAATTCTGTTATCATTGGATAACAAGTCGGTAGAACTCCGACTCAACTTCCACATGGTTTGATACCCACACCTAAGACAAAATATGAAAAAGGACCAGACAGATCTTCCCCTGTATCTTAGCCTAAATTATCCAAATCATCTCTCGAAGGTCTTAAAAAATGGTGAAGGGATGGGTAATAGGAGTCAGGAGTTGGAAGGAGTGTTGTTTTCAAGGTTTTGGGGGAGTGAGGGACTTGCTATGATTGGGTTAAAGGTTGACTCTTGTAGCGCATTATGTGCTGGCATTTTGTATGCGTGTATGTGGTCTTCTTGCATCTACACAGGTGTTTGGACAGTGATCTATCATCTCAACATTAGGAAAATATCTGGGATTAAGTAAGAGCGAAGAGCATTACGTGAATTGTATCCGCCTACGCTCAAAGTCAACAATATGGCTTCCAAGGGCCGTGGGACCGAGCAGGTAGGGGAAGAGATGGCAGGCAAGGGAAAACCTCTAATAGGCCTATAGACTTTACCAAAGAATGAGAGGATTGAAAGGAAGAGGATGAGGGACTAGAAGAGAAGGAGGAGGGGCTGAGGGCGCGTAGGCATCAAGAGGAATGACGCGAGTGTACCCCAACCCCAAGAAAGATGGCTTATTATTCATACAGGTACGTGAGACGTTATGGCGAGTCTCCTCCACGCTTCGAGCCTCCTAGCCGCCCGCACCTTGGTCTCTATCCGCCATCTACCTCTTCGGCTCAAGAACGACAGTTGATCATCCTCCCTCAGCCTAACCAGCAGGGGTCCCCGATGATACCATGCGTCCCCGACCCTCCTATTGTCTCTCAATCTACATCACCTGACAGAAGGTTGTGCATTTCACTCGTTATGTTTTGTTATGCCAAAAATAAATCTGTGAGTTAGTATCTTATCTGTTATATAAAAATGTTTTATAAAGGCTCAGGGTGAGGTGACAAGTAAAAAGGGGTTTAGCTGAGCCATGTGTTTGATGAAAGATGTCAACATTAATGATACCTAAACAGAAATTGGGTATTGGGTTGTTGATTGTGTAGCCAATAGGTGGAGTATATCAACAAGAACAAGATGGCTTCTGCTCGGTATCAAGTCATGATTAGAAAGTCCATACAAATGAGGAGCGGTCTAAAGATGAATTTACCAACTCGTCGTGAGGAGAATGAGGAAACAGGGTATTGCTGGGGAAAGTCTATAGGGGAACATACCCTCGTCTGGATTGAGTCTGGATGGATCAAAGACGAAAGTTGTGCGGTAGAAAGAGTTACATTATATATTTCGTCAGAATATTTATATGCTATCATAATAAACTTACTCTTTGGAATAGATCGATCTCTTTCGAGGCTATTGTGGCTTGCGAAATCCGCACTCGATACTCAGAGCCGGGACGCACATTTGAATGGGTTTGAAAGAGTTATAGGAGCAGTGGAAGTAAGAAGGGCTCGTGAGTTCCTTGCGCCAACCACATACCTAAGAGGAACCCTTCCCATGTTTATCGTGAATGAAGCCTTTGGAGGGAGGTCGCAAGTAGAAAAGGTTGCGGAAGCGGCATTGGCAGTGCCCGAAAGAGAATATCACTAGTCTACCTCCTTGTTGATATACTACTTATACCTGGAGATATGACATCTTATTGAGGAAAGAGAGTTACTAAGCATATTACCACAAGTCGACTCATATGCTCGCAGATATGAATTGGCAGAAAGGTTTAACTATTGGGATGAATTATGACGGGTAATCCTCTTTCCAGCCTGATAGTGAGACGGGATGATCCTCACTTAGGGACCTAGGGGAGAATGGTAAGACCAGGAGTCGGGAAGTTAGAATCATGCCTAAGAGGAATTAGATAATCGACTAAAAGGTAAAAACTATTCTTGTATGACTGTGTAAACAGGGTATCAAATGGCGCCTGGAATGTGGTTCGGTGACCAGTACTTCTTAATTAACTTTCCTGAGTAGAGAGACAGAGGAATTAAGATGACGTTACCCCGACGAGGGGTAGCGGAAGGAGAGGAGATACATACATGGTGTGGAGTACCAATAGGACCTGAAGTTTTTCTCTGGGCAGAAATTGGTTGGACTATGGAGGAAAGGCGTAAGATAGTAAGAGTGACTTTATATCTATCAACTCTCCTCTGGAAGGCCCACGTGATTGACCTGGCGATAGGAGAGAGCCGACCGATTTCCAAATGTATTATAGCTGCATGATCGGTACTTGAAGCCTTTTCTCGAAAGATGTACTGGGGGGAAGAAGGGAAGGTCATACGATCAATCGAGGCAAAATGGGCGACTGAATTTGCTTATCCGACATTGAATGTTAAAACCACTCTTTCCAAGTTCATAATTGATGAGGCATTTTGGGGAATAGGGAATGTGGAACGGGCAGTGCTCGCATCTCAATCAGTGTTTGAGATGGGTTTCGAGTTTGAGGCTTCTGATGTCGTTTATTGTTTGTACTTGGAGATGGGCCAAAAACTGGCACTTCTATAATGTCCTATGTATTGTAAATGCATATCTGCGCATCTATCATCTAGAAGATCGCTTGACGTATTGGCGCAAGCTCTGTAAGGAAGTTTGTATCGAGGTCTTTTTAGATGATATTCCCTCATTGTTTGGCATGGTTAGAAGCTTTTGGCACGGGGACAGGGTGCCTCTGGACGAGCTAAACAATTAAAAACGAGAGAATTTACATCATAAAAGGGGCGTTAACAGGTAGGATAAAGGTATTGAGAGAGAGTAAAGAAACATCAAGTCAGTGATGGAAGATGGGTCAATGGTTGTTTTGTGTGTTTTAACAGGGTCTACGGTCTAACAAGAGAAGGAAAAAACAGGGAAGAAAGATGAGTGACGACGAGGTCAATGGAGGGGGGCCGCCACCTATTACCGCAATGAAAATTGTTAAGTTACTAAAAAGAATAACGATAAAAATGTCCAACTTGCCAAGAATAGATATTTTTCCGTTCAAAGGGGAGAGAGTATCTCACTCGTTGGAGTTACTCGAACAAATCTTCAACCAGTTGACTTCAGCAGAGAAGTTTGCTCAGCTGTACGAGTATGTATGGTGGGAGTGCAAGCCAGACGTAGAAGAAGTTGTAAAGAAGGCCAACGATGACCGGGCAGAACTTAAGAAAGGCATGCAGAGGAAGTTTAAATTAGGGGACGGTCTGCTCATGGTCGAACATTTCTATAACTTGAACCGGGACGATTTCACCACAATCGGGGCATTTGCCAATGCCTTTGAGAAGACAGCCGACACCGTCGTGTTGAGAGCAGGTTAACCGAGCACCCATTTTTCAGGCCCATTTATAAGAAAACCAGACAGTCATTTTAACAACATTTTACACCAATCCATAGAGTGCACTTCTTAAGACCCCATCACAGAAAAAAACCCTTAAAAAAACAATTAAAAACATATAAAACAGCAAGCCAAAGGTGCATTTCCATGAAATTTAGCCAAAAAAAACTCGACCAATTTCAGAAATTTCAAAAATCTTAACAGTGCAAATTCTAAAACTCCAAATAACCCCAAACAACGCAAATTCTAAAACTCTAAATAACCCCAAATTTCATATACGGCAACCCTATCAAAATGCATATATAGCAAAAACTTGAAATTCCAAAAAAACATGAAATTTGAGCCCAAAACCCTAATTTCAGAAATTTCAGGCCTGAAAACCAGATGCCCCGTTAACCTCTTGTGGTCGTGTTGTGGCTGCTGGTGTTGTTGCCGAGGCACATCCACTCGCCTTTGAATCTGATGTTGTAGGCCTTCCTCTTGTCGTTGCTCCTGCAGTCCTTCCTCTCGCTGCCGCTGCTGCTGAACGTCTTCCTCTTGTTGTTCCCATTACATGCCTTCCATATGCCGCTGCTGTTGAACCCCCTCCGCCGGTAGACATCCGCCCATTCCCGCCGTTGTATAGTTCATCCTCCTCGGAGGGGGGCAACACTTCGTTTTGCTGTTTCCTCTCGAATCCGTTGCTCCACGAGGGCGTGATCACGATGAGCAAGGGATTGTGCCCTCGCCCTGTCAGCGTCATCATCGAAGTCCTTGTCCACTTCGACGCATGCGTTTAAGTTCATTCCCCGAGGCCGCAAGAACTCCAGGTCACTATCAAGGTAAACCCGCTCCACATTACGTGTGAGGTCGTCATCCAGTTCGTTGTCGTCGCTGGATATGTCGCTCGCCCTTGGCGACCGCAACGGAAAGTTTTCGTAATCTTCCTCGCTCTCCTCAGTATCTTGTTCCTCGTCATCCACATCCATCTGCAATTTGCCTTTGCCACCATCAACAACTTCAAAAACCTTTTTGTTATTGCCTTTGCCTCTCCAAATGAGGTCCTCCCCATCATCACTGTTGTCCGATGAGCTTGATCCATCAACAACATGAGGCCATAGGACTCTAGCTCGGGGGGTCTTCGCTAGATTTGTCCGGCCGGCCACTTTATCATCACTCAAGTCTGCCGGAGTCACAACCCTTGGCGACGCTACAGGATCATTCGGCGTTGGTGCCTCCACATCGTTGAAGAATGCAGCCCACATGTCCAGGTACCCTGCCAAGCTTCCTGTACTCTTCTTCTTCTTGATGTTCAGCAACTGAAGATTCCAGTGGATGTGCACTAACTTGGCGAGGCTGTCAGGCGACACCGGGTCCCTCCTCTTGTCGTGGACAAGATCGAGAGAGGACCAGTTTCTCTCACAAGGAGTCGTAGTGCTTTACATCTCTGTCACTCTCATGGCAATGTCTCGAAACTTCTTATGTGAGGCCTCATGGCGGTTCCACCATTCAGAGGCTGTCATTTGAGCAAGGGTGCTGTCGAACTTTGCAAAGTTGGTCCACAAGCTCTCCTCCACCACTTTCCCTGTCACTGGATCCTTTACCGACATATCTTCAGTTGGCTCCTTGTGGAAAACTTGCAAGTCCGCCCGCAGATCTAGCTGCTCGTTGCACCCCTAAGCGGCATTCTCTTTCCACTGTGATAAGAAGAACTTGAGGGTGTTTTGGACCAGCGGGGAGTGCATGTCCATCAACCACTTGTTGTCTCTCCTCCTTGGGTCAAGAAGAAAGTTCGCAGTATGAACAGGCTGCCTCATTATCTTCATGCGTTGGTTAACTGCCTTCAAGATTGTCCGTCGCTGGTCATCAGTCAACCGCGTAAGTGTTTTTAGACTCTTGCTCAACCCTTGGTCGAAGTGCCAAAGGCTTGGGGCGGCTGTGTCGTTGCGGTCCATCTTCCTTAACATCTCGTATATCGGTTCCAACACATCAAAAATCGTGCATAGCTTCTCCCACCATTCAGGCGCAGTAACAGTCTGGTACGTCAAGTCAGACTTGTCTCGATCTTTCCTTGTCCTCCATCTTAACTGCCTCTACCCCTCGTCCATCATCCCCTCAAACACACACCTCCTTCCCCAAAACCGGTTCATCATCATGTATGCGGAAGCAAACCGAAACTCCGTGGGCAAAATCAAGGTCAATTCCTTGGAAAGTTTTGAGCACCTCGTGTAAAGGCTATTAGTGTTATGGTGTTTCCTTATGAACTTGACCATCATCTTCATGCGCTGCACCACTTCCTTCACCCAGTCGAGCTCGCAGACATCCTTCATTAACAAGTTCAAGAAGTGAGTTGCGCACGAGATCCATAAAATGCTTGATATGTCGCGATCTGTACGCCTTCGCAGGATCCGTGCAGCTTGCTTGTTGACTTCCGCATTGTCTGTGCAGATTACATTAACCCGATGCACCCCAATGTCCCTGATCATCTGCTCCCACATCATCGCCAAAGCAATTGCAGTCTTCTTCTTCTTGGACACATCCACGACCTTCAAGAGGATCGCACCACTCTCGCCAGCCCCGATGAAGTTCATCACAGGTCTGTACCTTCGATCCGTGCACCCATCAGTGAGGAGGTTGCAACCTGTGTTGTCCCACTTCGCTTTCAGCGGATGCATGTCTTCCAGCACCTTTTTGTAGATGATGTCCAACAAAACAGTTCGGATGACCTCCAAGGAAGGCATCTTCACCCGCTGTCTTTTCTCCCCTAATTCGAGGTACAAGTCGTTCAGCTCCTGTGTCTCTTTCGTCCTGACGTAGTTGAATGGGGCGCCGTGTCGGAAAAGGTGCATCCCCCATGCCACATTCAATCGTTGCTGCGAATCGTTGGTTGCCCACCGTTTGATCGATGTTTGTGTCAAGTTCCCGGATTTCTGGCCCGCAATGGATCCTTGCGCAGACGTCCCCAACATTCCACCACCTTCTTCCACAACCCCCGCTCTTGCCTCTTCATCAACTTCCGCAGTCGCCACCGTTCTACTCTATCGTGCTGCCGGTGGCACTATGAATGCATCCACTGTGTTCCCTTGTGCCTCCACCTCTGGAACTGCAGGAACCAAACCGTCCTGTGGGATGTTGTGCTCCATCCGATACAATTGGATGAGCCGCAACGTCTTCTTACACTCAATCGCATGCCCCTTCGCAGCAAGGATGTAAGCAACTCCGGATAATGTGCGGGGCATGGATTAGTTTTCCAAGTGAAATGGGGCCACACACGCGTGTACGACGCGACCCAATCTGCGCCGCACAGATTGCACTTCACTCTGTACTGCCCCTTTCGCCAATGGCGGGACCATCTGCCCCTGCGTCACCCACCTGAATGCCACCTTTGTCGCCTGCGGTTGCAACTGCCTTGCCTCAGGCTGTGGCTGAAATGGTTCCTTCACGTGCTTGGCTTTATCATCCGAACCTGCCACCTCCTTCCCCCTCGAAGTGCCTGCCCCGCTTGAAGATGCCATCTTGCACAAGGTTTACGAACGAGGAGGAGAAGAAGAATTAGAAGGAACAGAAGAAGAAGAAGAAGAAGAAGAAGAAAAAGAAGAAGAAAAAGAAGAAAAAGAAGAAGAAGAAGAAGAGTTTGATGTGAAAAAAAAAGGAATCGCAAAGTCGGGATGACAACTTGACACAGTGCCACGTCAAGGAACAAAGGCTATGGTGTTAAGGGAGGGAGTCTATGGAGACTGAGAGGTGGTAGGAAGAAGAAGAAGAAGAAGAAGAAGAAGAAGGAGAAGGAGAAGAAGACGACGACGACGACGACGACGACGAAGAAGAAGAAGAAGAAGAAGAAGAAGAAGAAGAAGAAGATGTAAAAACAATGAAAAAAATTGCGAAGTGAGGCTGACAGCCTGACACAGTGCCACATGAAAGGAAGGAGGTGATCTGGCGGGGGTGTGCATCATGAAAGGAGGGAGGTGGAAAACTATGGCGGCAGAGGAGGGAGGGAACCTATTGCGAGAAGAACAAGTTAAAGAAGAAATAGAAACGAGAAGAAGAAGTTGAGGAAGAAGAAGAAGAAGAAGAAGAAGAAGAAGAAGAAGAAGAAGAAGAACAATAAGAAAAAGAAAAAGAACAAAAAGAAGAAGAAGAAGAAAAAGAAAAAGAAAAAAAAATATGAAAAAAATAAAAAAAATCGCAAGTCACTTTAAGTCGGGCTGACAGCCTGACACAATGTCGTATGAAAGGAGGGAGAAGGGAGGAGGAAAGTTGTGGCGGCGGAGGAGGGAGGAGGAAAGTTGTGGCGGCGGACGAGGGAGGGGAAAAGCTATGGTGGCAGCAGCGCTAGGAGAAAGGAGGGATGGGGGGGGGAAGGGTAAGGAGGGAGGAGGAAGAAAGAGTGAGGAGGGTAAGATGGGTGGGCTATGGCAGCCGCTGACGTGGAGTTGGTGCGCTATGAAAAAAGAGGGAGGAGGGGGGAAGTGGGGGGAGAGGTTGCACTATGAAAAAGGAGGCGAGAGGGGAGGGAGGAGCCAGGAGGGAGGCTATGGCGAGAGGGAGGAGGTACGAGGGAGGAGGAAAGTTATGGCGGCGGAGGAGGGGGGAAGTGGGGGGAGGGGTGCACTATGAAAAAGGAGGCGAGAGGGAAGGGAGGAGGGAGGAGGGAGGAGGAAAGCTATGGCGGCGGAGGAGGGAGGGAGACTATGGCGAGAGGGGAGGGAGGAGGGAGGAGGGAGGAGGGAGGTGGAAAGTTATGGCGGCAGAGGAGGAAAGGAACCTATGGCGAGAA